CTCCACTAACGTCTTCGCAAGGGCACAAAGTGTAATTTCATGGAATTGCATCAATTCACTTTGCCTAAGTAACTAAGATTGGGAATTAAAAACATTTAGTTACTTGTATTTCATTATACTTATAATGGAAGGTTTCGTCCTATCCTACCCGTTCGGCTAACGACCCTCCACTAGTCAAGAGTGCGGTGGGTAAGAGTGGATACCCATTCAATCGCCATTTTATAGGCAATTTCCTTAAACACCCCTTATAGACCAGCTTCGTGAATGAGGCCTACTAACGGTAAGACTGACTTTTACTCATACATATATATAATGTTAGACTTTAATGTTATATATAGTATAGGGTGATTTTACACTTTTAAATATATGTGGTTAACTTTAACAATTACACTTTAATTCAATTAAATGTTAACCTAAACTTTTATGGATTTATTAAACTCTTTTAATTATACTCCTTAATTAATTAATAAAACCATAAGGGTGTATTTGAACTTTTCAAAACATTACTAGGGTTTTAGAATTTAACATTCCTAATTAAACTTTTAATCAACTTTTAAATTCCAAAACTTGAGGGCAAGTTTTGAAACCTTTTTCAAAACATTAGGGTTTTAACTATTAAATTTCAAAACAACAAAACTTTTGGGTTCAAATTTAAACTATAAAACCTAAAGGGGAAAATATGAAACTTTTCATAACAACAAGGATCAAATAACAAATAATTTTAAATTAACATTTAATCACATAATTATCCATATTTGATTTATTTAATGATTTCTTGCAAAACAATTTATCAATTTACTCAAAATAATTAATCAATTATTATAAGGAAACAATTATCTTATTAATTGATAAATATCTTCATTAGATCAAAATATAGTCAAATATATCATATAATCGGATTAATATTGATCTAACATGATAAGGTAACTATCCATATGCAAAAAAGCAAGAAATCCCGAGATAAGCATATCTGACGAGTTGACTCGTCGAGTCAAGCCTGGACTCGTCGAGTCACCCTGGACTCGGCGAGTTCAGCTATGGACTCGGCGAGTCCAGCCTCTAGAACACAAAAATCAAATTTTTTAGATATACAATGCATCAATACAATTGAAACCATCCTAGGCTCTGATACCACTGATGGGTTTTGGTCATAAGACATCCTATGTGCTCATACAAACCCTAATGCTTGGATCTAGGTTTCTCTATTGTACATGCTTTGAATCCAAGACTATAAACCCTAATTCTAGCATATGG